GCTTGGTTTCCCTTTTCCTTTAGACTTACCTTTAGCACCAACATGCTCAGCGGTATGTTTTTGTTGATTAACATCTTTTTCACATTTGCTCTTTCCTCGTCCTTTTGGCTCCGGCTTCTGAATGTCACCTCGTCCTTTGCCTTTTTCAGTAGCAGTAAGTCCTCCTTTACCGGAAGTGGATTTGCCATCATTTTTGGGTAAAAGATTAATTTCCTGTTTCTGTCGGCTAGAACTAGCGGTATTGCTTGCAGCAGTGTTTACCTGCGACGTATGGCTAATACTTTGCAACCCCATGCGCTGCGCGGCCGCTGCAACACAATCTTGCAATTGTTTGGCGTCGGTAGTGCGCTCAATTTTCTTGCAAAACTTCAAATCAGAAATCAGCAACATGCGAAGCTGTTTGTGCGCAAGTCCGTGCTGTGTGTTTTTGAGTTTTTGCACAAGCTTGCTGATGTCTGCTTTGTTCAGCTGGAAACCCTCAGCAGGTGCACCACCACCGCTCATGAGACAACTCATCTCATCATTAGTGCAATCTTCAATGGGATCAGAAGGCAGTGACCAATCAACCATGCCATCATACTCAAACCCAAAATGCTCCACAGCTTTGCTATCTTCATTGCTGTCTTCCAATCCCGACCCAACAACGAATCTAGAACAATTGCCAAGATTATCCCCAGATCCCTCAAACTCAGCCAGAAATGAAAACCCGCCACGCCCAAGTACAGACGAAGGGTCGTTGACTCCGTTGTTGCATCGATGCTCCTTTTGCTCACGGTCACGGCTACGAGCATCGTTTTTGGCAGGGGAGATGTGTTTGCGCTTTTTGCACTCTAAGTTGTCATGATGCTGATTTTGCGTTTCAAGCATTTGTGACTCCGAATCAGTATCAATTTCGGTAGCAGCAGGGCTTGATGGAGCTTCCGAGCAGTATTCAATATCGCTAAGTTGTGAATCGAAAGGATCGGGCCATGTACGGGTAAGATGAGACTCACACTCACTGACCGATGAAACTTCCCAAACCTCACAATCCGAAACACCAAAGTGAGGCACATCCCTTGAATCAGATGCAGTGCTTCGGCGCTCTCCTGCAGTGAAGTATCCTCGGATTGACGTTGGCTTACTGAAGATCGGGGTTCCAAAAGAGTTACCCGTGATTTCACATTCAACCCAACTTGTATCAATCTCCGGGATTTGGAATCCTAATTGCTGCAACTGCAATCTGAGGTTGCACTTACTCGCATTAATTCGTTTAATGGGACTAGTGAAGAGAACCATGATTATTCTATTGCCTTTCCAGAAATTTGTGGCGTGCGGGATTTTGAAGGTTGGGACCGCAATAGTACCGCCAATCGGAATGTGCATCAGGAAACCTTTGTGGCCTTTGAAGAATTCATTCCCATACTCGGATTTCAAGAAAAGCTCTCCATCATGATAGTCGGTAATGGCTGTCAGGAAAGCGGGGAGTTTTTCATTACGCGAATCAACGTGCACATCAGTTTGCAAGTTTTTGTTGATGACAATCGTTGAACCAAATGCGCTCCTGTTGCATTGTGACATAAAAGCAGTGATGACTTTAGTAAAGTTGGGAAACATGTTTGAGGCTTTCGTGAGGGAAAGCCGTGCAGCTCCAAGTGTTATCTGAAACCCATCGCCGTTTGGTATCCATGGGGCTTCGGGGTGTTCCAGGAGCGTTTGTATGTTATCACGGCTAATGCAATCAGCAATCAAGATGTTGTGGGCCCAACTCTCCAATGAAGGACTATTTGATGCGGGGCAGCTGCGCACTACTTTCTCACTCGAACCAATCCCTTCATTCCTAACTTGATTCAACATTCCTCCCTGCAATTCCCAATCAAAGGAGAAGAACATCCCACTAAGCAGAAAAGCCAAAAAGGAATAAACCCAAACCACCCAAAGGCAAACCCGGCCATGTGCAACAAAGCACTTGGTGCTCATCAGCGCATCGCTTGCAGATGCATCGTGCTGTTGTCGTACTCCGCTGTGCCTTGGGTGTGCGATGTCTCCATTTTTTGGCAATTTTGCTTTTGTGGTGCTTGTGCTTGCTTGCTTGTCAAACACCCTTTGCGCCCAGCTTTGCAAGCGAACTAAACCCAGAAAGAAGGATTCCTTAAGCCAACCCGGAAACCTAAATTCCCCAGAATGCAGCTCGCAGCACTTGCAACCGCTGCTGACATCGCGAGCTCTCCAGATTTGTAGATCGATCCTTGGATTATTCATCCCCGTAGTTTCACTTAATTGGTGTGAGCATTCTTTGTCTTTATAAGTTCTGTGTTTGGGGATTGTGTCGTGCTTGATAGACCACACGCTTGCAGCACACATGACCAGTCCTACCATGTATGGAGCAGGTGCAATGCGCTCAAGTACCCGTCGTGAAACTTCATTGACCACTCTATTTACAAAATCGTCAAAGGGAGCTGATGGGCTTTCTTCCTGTACACTGCTTCCACCACTCATTTCCTCTACATCTGCAGCTGCTGGTAGTTCAATTATTGGCGGGGCTGCAGAAGGCATAGCTCGACGTGGCGGTGGAGGAGTGCGGGGCTTTCGGATGAGTCGTGGGTGCTGAATTCTCTCATCTGATGCAGCCGCTGCGGTAATCAAAGGCCTCGTAGTTGCTGGATCCTCGGGTTCATGACTCACTGGATTCTCCAATGATGTCTCCGATCCGCTGTTCATAGACGAAGCAATCGAAGATTTCCTTCTCGCGCTCGGTGGCTTCGGTGGTGTCAATGCTTGAGGCGGAGTCTTCGGTTGTGGGATTGATGCCATTTCTTTACCTGGTGGTGGGTATGGCGGCTCCTTTGGGGTCTTCGGCACTATAGCTGATGAGACTGCTGTCGTCACCGTCGTTGAAATTTCCGCTTGTCGTCTTGGGGGCGGTCTTGGCGGCTGAGGTGGTATCTTCGGCACTGATTGCATCAGCGATGGTGTCGTGATAGCATGTGCAGGTGCAGTAAACTTGGCCTTTGCAACCCTAGCTATCTGCGAAGCGAAATCCTCATGCTGCCTCCGGGCCGGTAGGCCTTTCCCAGCCGGCTTGTAAGCCGGTGGCATGCTACATAACCTATCAGCTCTGCGCGTTCTTACTTGAGCAGTCTGTCGGGGAGCTTTGCGGTAATTGGTGGAAAAGTTATGCCTATGGCGTCTCAAGGCTACGTCTCTAGGATACCCTTCGAGTGAGAGCTTTGTGAACTCTCGTAAACTAGAGCTCGTCTCGTGCCTTGCTAGTGCCATTCTATACCGAACCTCAGCAGCATCGACACCGCTGTAATGCGAGTTTTCATAATAAAGGCTAATCACCCTGCTGTTGCATCTACTTTGCGATTTTGCGCATTCGTGCTTCTGCAATGGACAACACCTAATGATGTGACCTTTAACACATACTCGCATTTCGCACCGAAGATAAGCAGCCGTCCCTAGAACAGCCAACATATTAGCCCAAGCATTCCTTTTCCCAAGGAGTTTGATGCTATGACAAAGCTCATTGTCTTGTTTCCTTAAGGCATGTTGCATCATACTTTCCAGTGTGAGCGATTTGAGCTTATACCACTTCATGTTAGTTTGCTTGGCTACAGCTCTCCAGTAGCAGTTGCCGTCCCCAATAGTGTGATTAAAGTGAAGAGGTGCTTGCACTCCGTGACAGAGAACATCAACTTCCACCTGGAATTGTTCAACTCTGTTCCCTTGCTTTTTAGAATACCTAGCGCCTTTATGCTTATTGGGCTTTCGCCAAAGGGGCATCTTAGAGCAAGGAATCCCGCACCTAGAACCCCAAATCTTAGCGAACCAAACTAACCAGAGAATCAAAAGAGCCCTGAACAGAAATTTCCAAAAACCACCCCGAACCGTGCTGCAGCTCTTGGCGACTTTGCGCACACCGTGTTGTTGTTCATGTCGTAGAAGTTCCTGGGCAGTAATAGAGTGCGCAATCTCAGATAAGACCGTAAAAAGGACGATAAAGAACCCAAGGTAAGGGTGCTTAAGGTCTTTAGGGTCTTTCATTTTATTTTGATTCTCCCGAATTGGAGCGAAACACAATCTGAAGCAATCTTCCCAAACCCTTGAATGCATCGAGCAGCATGCTCGTTTGCACTGTCCTGGGATGCTACAGCTTGCAATCATGCAAAGACACAAATCATCATCTTCGCTCATATCATCTGCAATGCAGCATCGTTGTGCTGAAGTTTTGTTGTCAATGTGCATGCATGTGCCATCGGCCGGCACAATATTTTTTGCGCTTGTTTTTGTAACATTTTCAATGCAATTTTGGCTTGAATTTTTGTTTTTGTTTTGGCTTTGCATTTGCATTCGGTCTTTCATAGACCAATTTATGTGCGCATTTTGCTGGATGTCTGCGAAAGGCATTGCGTGATTTT